ATTACCATATGATTTGCGTTCGTGTTTGAATATATGGATCTTTCTGGAATAGAAATCTGTAATTAGGGTGAGCAAACTGTGTAATGGTTTTGCATTAAGGAACAGATGGCGACGCCTCAGGCTTCAGGCGGAGAAGCCGGCACGGAAAGGGCCCCTCAGAACACTGACGCCTCTCTTTGCTGGAGTCAGAGCCTTTCATAACGCAGCTTTTTTTTCTAGAAAGCATGGCCTAATTTCCGGCTGTTTACAAGAGGCTCCCACTGTGTTCTGATGACTGATTGATTGATTGATTGATTGATTGATTGACTGATTGACTGATTGACTGATTGATTGATTGATTGATTGATTGATTGATTGATTGATTGATTGATTGACTGACTGACTGACTGACTGACTGACTGACTGGCGAGCCCCCCGCTCCTTCCTTGCCACCCCTGTGTTGATTCATGCCAAGGAAGGTGTCACTTTCAGTGCCAAGAGAGTCCTTGGGCTTTGCTGGCCCCTTGGCTCTCTGATGGCCAGGATTTGGGCCCAACGCCACAGAGCCACCCGTAGACCCCCACCTGAGTATGCCTCAGTGGCATGTCCTGAAGTCATGAGATGAGCCCCAAAGTCTAGGGATGCTCCCCAAAACCTGAGCCCAAACCACCCTTCTAGCCACTGACTAGTACGTAGGTCCCCCCTCCCCACCCCCGTGGAAGAGCATGTCTTCTTGGCCAACGCACCCACCCGCCTGTCTTTGGGGGGCTGAATGTGGTGGGGAGACCAGCAAGCAGATGTGGAACGCAATGGCGTGCAGCCCGAGAGAAGCCTGCAGATCCTGAAGCGGCTTCTGTTCTGTTCTGAGCGTCTAATCCCTGCTTCCATCCCTGAGAAGGCAGAGCAAATCCACTGCGCGCTCTCGCTCTCTCTCTCTCAATCTCTTTTCGCTGCTGCAACCTGGCATTCTTATCTGAATAATGTTGCCTCTGTGGGATGAACGTGGGCTCGGCGCCTCGTCCTGCGGCGCTGATGCTGTTCTTGTGTGCCTTGCAGATAATTGCTTATCAGCCTTATGGGAAATCCGTGGACTGGTGGGCCTTCGGAGTCCTGCTCTATGAAATGTTGGCCGGGCAGGTAATTATAACAGAATGAGTTTCTCCATGTGGTTCTCGCGGGGTCCAGGGGTGGGTGGGAATGGGGGGTGCGGTAACATGAGGAGGAGGAGGAGGGCTCCTCTGTTTTGCTAGCAGCCTGCGGAGTAGGGGCCTCTGGAAGCCACCTCCAGATTCCTCCTCGTTTCCGGGACAGGGGGCAGGGGTGGACTGGAGAGATCCAGGATCAAGTCCTCCTGGTCATGAAAGGTTAGCACTCCGATGAGAGTGGGCGAGTCACTCCTCTTTCAGCCTGGCCTACCTCACTGGGATGTTGTGATGATGATGATGATGCAGAAAGGATTATGAGAGCCACACACACTGCCTTGAACTGACTGGAGGAAAAGCAGAAAGGATGATGAGAGCCACGCACACTGCCTTGAACTGACTGGAGGAAAAGTGAAATGCAGCTGATAAAATAAACGTAGCGCAGACAGCATTGGCTGGAGATGTTACTCTGAGCACTGCGTTCCCTACTGTTTTTCCATTTGTTCTTGGGCTCCTCAGTGGCCTCCGGGCACCTTCCCTGGCCAGCGATGTGGGCAAAGAAAAGTGGGCGCTGTTCTAACCCTTTCCGCTTCTGCTCTCGAATTCTGCAGGCACCTTTTGAGGGAGAAGACGAAGATGAGCTGTTCCAGTCGATCATGGAGCACAATGTGGCTTATCCGAAGTCCATGTCCAAGGAAGCCGTGGCGATCTGCAAAGGGGTAGGTGCCGGCCGCAAGCTACTGGGGAGGGGGGAACGTGGGGAGAGAAGGAGGAGGAGGCCTGTTGCCCTTTTGGGCATGGCAGATGCCCACCCCTTGCATGTTAGGCTTGCCAGGCTGGGCTGTTGAGGTTTGGACAGGAAGCCGGCAGGTTTTCTAGCCACGGGAAGGAGAGGGTCTGGTGGCCGCCTTCCTCAGCAGCAGAAGGTGGTGGCCAGGCCCCCAGGCACCAGCTCATACCCTTGGGGACAGCTGTGCTTTCTCAGGTCTCCAGGAGGAGCAAACTGCAGGGAGAGAGCATTGGGTCTCCAGGCCAGAAGGAGCGGCCAAGGCTGGACATGCTTCTGCCTGCCTGCTTCCCTGGGAAGGGGTTCCTTCTATGTGTTGTCAGTGCACCAAAAGTCAAAGGAATGAGGGGAAAGGACTGGGGGAAGTGCCCGGACACACGCACTTGGGTCCATCGTGACCTGTGGAGCAAAAGAGGGAGCGAAGCAACTTGCATCCACTGTCCAGAATCTGCTGAACCCGAGAGAGACACTTGGCTCTTCTCCCCAGGGTCAAAAGACCCACCTTCTGGTCTGAGATCATGAGAGGCGGGAGATTGCAGACCAGGGGAACCACCCTTGGGCAGCGAGACTCCGCTTTACGAACTGCTGGCACAGAAGGACGTCTCTGGAACCTTCAGGGGCCTTTGCCGTTGATATGGAAAAAAAGTGCCAGATGCCCTGTGGTTTCCTACCTGGGCTATCCACGAGAGAACAAGCCTTCCTTGGAGGTCGGCTTAATGGCAGGAAGCGCCTCAAGACTTTTCATCTTGGATTCTGCTTTAGTGGCTGTGATTGTTGCGATGTGTTCCGTTTCTTGTGCTCCTTGCTGTTCTGCTGGTATTTCAGAAATGAAAGTGATCAAAGCAACCAGCTAGGGTGGCCACAGGACTTTTTGAGGGGAAAGCTGGATGTGAGCACGTGAGCATAATTTGGACATGCCATGTGGACCGCTGTAACACACCCATGCATGGTGTGTGTGTGTGTGTGTGTGTGTGTGTGTGTGTGTGCTTTGTTCCTTAACAACGCGTTTAGTGACATTTAGAAGCCTCCCACACAGTGGGAGAAAATCCTCAGAATTGAGGACTTGACAGTGCTAATGCAGAACGCCAGAAGCCGCGTGAATACCAACAAACCTTTATTCAGCATCAGGAACATTTTAGAAAGATAAGGAGGAGGGAATGGACGGCCCCAGGCTGTCGGTAGAAGAATGAGGGCGGGAGTCCCTTTCTACCTGGGGCATTGACAAGAACTGCTGCAAAGGGGACCCAAGTCCCAAAATACGTCTCAATGGGGGTCTTGATGAATGAATGGGCCAGGGCACTTAGACCATGACAGGAGTCGGCTTCTCCCTTTCAGACAAAGGGGTGGAAGAGCGGTTGCACATTTTGCTTCCAGTCTCAATGGCCACCAGTGCTTGGGGCTCCCTTTTCAGAAGGCGGGGAGAGGAAGCTGGCCCTCAGCAGCCTGATTCCTCGGGGCTGGGCTGGCTCTTTCCACAAGGCAAAAGGGCGTGGGAAGGAGAAGGGCGCATCGACGAGAGAGAGTTAAAGCAGGGTGGATCCCGCCGCCCCGTCCCCATCCTGTGGAACCCTAGGATGGGTCACTTGGTGATGGACTGAGGGTCCCACGTTGGAGAGCTATAGCGCATGCATGCCCCTTTAGCTCTAGCGCTACCGCTCCCAAGTCCAGAATGCCAAGGATCCCATTAAAATCTGAGGAGCGCCGGCAGGGGAAACGTTTCAGGGGCCTCGTGGGGGTGGCCAGACACTAGTTGCACCTCTAAAAGATGGAGCAGAACAAGGCTCCCCTTTCCTTCGCCGTTTGGCCTGACGAGAGAGGGGCCCAAGGCAGGGAAGGCTCTTGGACAAACACCCTAACCATGCTCTTTGAAAAGTGCTTTTTGGAAGTAACCAGAAGTGGCTCAGTAACTTTGTACCTGCTCACTGCCTGCCTCCCGAACTGTGGCTCGTTGCCCCTTTATGACCCTGAACAGTAAGTCTACGACATCAGTAACTACTTCCCCAGGGGGTGGAGACGCCATCCGGGGGGGGGGGAATTGATGGCAGCCCATGATCGCCTCTGAGCGCGGCCGTGGGGCCGTACAGGCGCAGCGGAAGACATTCTGATGGAATCAAGTGGCCGAGAAAGAGTCTGTTGTCGGTGGCATGCTGGGGTCTTTTTTTTTTTCCTTGTGGGTTCTTAGAATGGCCTCTCTTTGGTTTTTCTGAGTTGGGTTACAATATGTGTATTTTCCCCCCTTTGTTGGTTTTTTTATATGTTGTGTCTGAACTATAAAATAGCAGAATTAAAAAAAAAACACCACTCTCTTCTATAGCCTTTGATGGTGCCTTTGGAAATCTTTGTTCCTCTTTTGTGACTGAGTGGTGTTTTCTGTTCACTCTTGCCTTGACCTGCCTCGAGTCCCATTCTTTGTTGGGGGGAAAGGCAGAATCTACCTTCCGTAAGAAAAGAAAAGCAGCCGTCGTCAACAAATCCGTTCATGTAAAAACCGCTTGAAAAGTAGCATCCTGAGCCACTGAGTGGACGTTTCCTTGCATCTCCAACGTGAAACCGCCTCCTTAGGGTTTGCAGAAGCTCTCCAAGGGTTCCCGTGCCAATAACATTTTAGAAGGCGTCTTTCTCCTCCACCACCCCAAGATTGGATACCCTAAATGTTTCCCCTTCTTTGATGGACATTTTCCATTAAAATGTGTTATTCTATCATCTCCAAAACCGTAAGAAGCCACACCAGGATCAGCGGATGAAAGCAAGAGTTTCTAAGGCTGAGACAACTTCCCATGTTGTGTCCAGCCAAATATTCTGCCTTCGATTTGCAGTGCCAAAGTCTCTTTATCTCATGGGCGTCGGACAGTGGAGTTAGAGAAGGTCACATTCTGATCTGTAAACTCTTGTCCTCACCATAATCTTAGTCGCTGAAATCCGACATGACATTTTTAAATCAACTGTACTGCTTGTGCCTCTCCTCTGCTTTGCTTGCCCGTCTCCAAGCTGTTACATAAATACAGAAGGAGATCAGCTTTATTGACCCCAGAGGCATGCGAGGTCCCTGTGCAGATGATTCTGGTGTTGGCGCCCGTTAATTTAATTCCAGTATCACAGCTGCCTAAATCTCTTCTGCATTAGCCCCAGCGCCCCCCCAACCCCACCTAGGCAGAGAATGGCTGACTTTGGCAAACCACACCCGTTGTGCCAAGTTGGAGAAACATCCCAAGTTCAGTGGTGATTCCTTTATGAAGCTACAAAGAAGGTCCTCCTTCCCCGACGCCAAAACCCTGGATCGCAACCCATCTTTTTAAGCTGGCCTGGCAGATTTCTGGGCACCACTGGAAGCCAGGTTTTGCTATTGCGAGGTCCAAAAAGATGATTCTTCTTCTTTTTCTCCTCCTCCACCACCACTCCGGTTGAACAGAACTCTGGATGCGAACCTAACTTGAGTTAAACCTCTTATTCTGTCTGGAGGTGCTTTGAGTATAGGGTGTGGGCTGTGTGGAGGGGAGGGTTCGTCTTGCACAACCAGAATTAATCTGCAGCCCTTTAAGCCCAGATGGGCTTTGCAGGAGAAGGCAAGGGGCTCGCTGGGTTTGCTGTCTCAGCAGGTGACGTTCCCTCCCAAAGCGGAGAGCCTGCGCTGCTCGCGGTCCTTGCCATTTGGGCAAAGTGTTCCATGAGATCGAAGGAAGTCAATCAGCTGTGCTTAATGGGTCAGGAAGGGGGGGTCAGTTTTTCCAGGTCACCGAGCAAGAAAGGCAGACAGTGCTGGGCGAAGGGAGGCTTGGCCTTCGCCTCCATCCCGCTTACCTCTCGGGTGCATTCAATTCCCTAACCTCACACTCATCCATTTCCCCATGTGGCTTGGTTTGTGACTCGTGTTGGTCTTTACCAAAAGCCAAGGCAGAGAAGGAGTCGGATAATTGGACCTTGCTCAGAATGTTCCTTGAACATCTGCCCGTCGTTGTTGCCATCACGGCCTCCAAAGTAACTGTCGTCTTCACCACCACGACCAGCACGGCAGCATCCGTCGCTGTTCTTGACATTCTCTGTGATCCAGACCAGGTTCATGGGGAGACGGTTCAGGGGGCGAAGGGTTTGGGAAGCAAGGCCGGTGGGGAGATGCTGAGGGTGGGAGCTGGGTAGGTTTCTTCAACTTGGCACCACTTCGAAAATGTGAAGGGCTCTGCTGTTCACTTTTGGAAGCAAAGACTTGACACCCCGATTAGCTCCCTGAGAGCCTGGCGCCAAAGCTGGGCCGTTTCCCAAGGAGCTCCTGAGGGGAGAGAACCTTGTGGCAGTGCCCACCGCCAATGGGCAGAGAGGAGGTAGGGAGGCACGCGCCTGGCGCTGGTGGTGCAGGTCGAACAGAACTCTGGATGCAAACCTAACTTGAGGGAGGCACGCGCCTGGCGCTGGTGGTGCTTTGGAGAGATTGCAAGAGAGGAAGCTGCGATGGTCATTCTGGGGGAGGCCTCCCTCTCGCCCCAAAACGGCTCCGGTCTGTGAAGTCAGCGGGATTCGGCTTCCTTGTTCCCTCATTGTCCCTGAGAGGAGGAAGAGAGGAGAGTAGCCGGAGGTGGCGGTCGGCATCAGCTTCTCTGCCACTTCCACTTCCGTCCAAACAGAAGGCTGCAAATTGGCACCAGACAAAACAGATTAGAACATCTGCTGGGTTTGTTGAGCTGTGGCTTTTCTCACTCCGGGCAAGCGCTCTGCCTGGACGGAAAGGCGCGCAGGTGGGAGACCCTGGGCGGCGACCTTTCCCTTTCATTGAAGGGCTGCCTTTATTTGGCATGGAAGGGGCTTGCCCATATTGCAAAAGGGAAGTTTGGTGCTTTGAGTTTCTCCTTGCGGCCATGGGATGAACGATGCTGGCTGCACCGTACACGTTTGTGGCAGGAAAGGGCAGGGAGCTCTCCTTCAGAAGCTCCCACATTCATTCATTCATTCATTCATTCATTCATTCATTCATTCATTCATTCATTCATTCATTCATTCATTCATTCATTTATTTATTTATTTATTTATTTATTTATTTATTTATTTATTTATTTAATTTATACCCTGCCCCTCTAGACCATGTCTACTCGTTGCCACTTGGGCTGGGCATTCATGGCAAGTCCATTCCAGCCCACCGCCACCTCCTGGTGATGTCCTCTTACTCCAGAGGAGAACAGAACAAGAGGCCAGGGGGATCCTGGAAAGGGGCTCCACATAGAAAGACAACCGGGCAAGCTTGTTTTTCAGCTGCTTGTTCCTGGAACCACCGGGGTGGCTTTTGCTTCTCTCTGCCCGATTCGTCTTGTGCGTGCTGAAGCCGGTCATCCTTTAGCGTGGTGATGAGTGTGGACAGCAGAGGACACGAAGCCCTTGTGGACAGATCCCGAAAGCAGAACACTTCCAGGACGTGAGCAGCATCCAGGTGGCAGCAGCCGCAGATCGATTGGCAGTTCTCTGGACAGTTCTTTCTCTCTCTGTGTGTGTGTGTGTGTGTGCACCACGTCTGCCCCCCCCCTCGGGAGCATGCCTGTGGCTGGCAGATCCCCTGCTGAGGTGGGGAAAGGGCGGAGGTACGGGTGCTGTGGTGACGTGGAAGAGAGAGGGAGCCGCTCGGGCTGGGGAAACGTCTTCTCCGCGGCTGCTCAGAGGCTCTCCTGTTGAAGGGCCTTTCGTAAAGGTCTCGTAAAGGCACTGCCCACCCTCGTTGCTGGAAATGACAAGCTCTTGCTTCCTTCACTTCCTCCTCACGGTTTGAATGACTTTTAAAACTGCGCCGTTCTCAAGCAGCTTGCTCAGCTCCGCATTTCTCTCCCCCCCCCCC